AGGGGAAAGACAAGCAGGAAAACACTGAAAAAACGAACTAAACAAGTTACTCATCCCATAAGCCACCAATTCTTGATTATTATTCAACTCATAGTTATTCAATTTCGCCATTAGTTTAGCCATTGAAATAGTCAGTGCAAAAATCAATATGGCTACCACAAAACTGTCCTTAGCTACTCGAGGAGTGGACTCAAAATTTGGAAGTATAGGTGGTGGCATTCCAGTTGGTATATCTCCAACAATTGCCACTCCATAAACATCTTTGAAGTTTGAAACATAGGAAATAATTGTTGATAATACAACAACAATTAAATCTATTGGAATTGGAATTTTCAAACGTGCCTTGTATTTTTCATTGACAAATATTTTCACGGTTAGCAAAATAACAATACTGACTATAGAAATGATCAAATCTGCAATATTTGTCTTTTTGATATTGGAGAATATTTCAATAAAGGTTTTAATGATTTTGCCTGTTCCAGAATAAGCTTTCACCTCAATATTTAACATTTTGCCAATTTCACTTGTTGTGATGTGTATAGCCGATACTGTCGTAAAGCCACCAATGAATGAAACTGCTAAATAGTTGGTCAGGAATCCTAGCCTTAGTAGACCTATCAGTAACAATATAGCTCCGGCGAAAAATGTTAACATCATGGAAATACCGACTTTGTATTGTAAGATTTCCTCGTCAGAAATAACAGTGTGGTTATTCAAATCAACCCACAATTTGGCTTCTCGTTCAACGACACTAGCTGTTAACACGGCCAGTACAGCATTAGTCCCAAGAGATACATGGGGAGAAGTTCCAAATACCAAATACAGCAGTACTGGATAAAATGTTGAATATATTCCATGAATTGGTTTTAGTGAACCTAACAGTCCAAACCCTAAACCTTGAGGAAGGTGCACGAAAGCTACTGAAATACCAGCAAGAAAATCATTTAGAGCAGCACGTCGGTTATAGGTTCTTATTGCGTGTAATATTGGTATAAATGAGAAGATGGAACTCAAAACACACATTGGAGAACATTTGAATTTCCAGCAACTCTGTTCGGGTCTTCTCTGGGGAAATTCATCTTCAATGTCGTTTTGTGTGTAAATATTTCTGTTTATGCTGATCGCGTAACTGGGAATTATAGGCGACTGATCCATCTTTCATATAGGTTTAAACACCGTCTGGAATAAAACACAAAATATTTATTGGCTAAAAGCAATTATGTTGGGAAAGAATTGGGGCTAACGTCTTTGGATTTAAGCAGAGTATGGCGAAATGTACTCCAATTGCAGATGATCTGGCTCGTGGTTTTAGATTGAGATTGATCCGGAGACGAAAGGGAAAGACTTCAGAATAATGCACCGCTTCTTATCTATTTTATACTTTGAAACTGAAAGGTGAAAAACCCATCAACACAACGTTGGTTTAGCTTCGGGCAGGACTTATATCTGCATTGCAATTTCAGGCTAAAGAATCAAATGACTCCCACATAAACTGTACAACTAGGACCCATGTAAAATAAAGAGTGTTATTATTATTATTATTATTTTATATTATTATTATTATTATTATTTACTAGAGCATTATCTTTATTACGGAAAAGGGACGAGAGATATTGGATACAGGTGTGGGCTGATATCATCAAGTGATTCTTATTGGCAGTAGAATGTCGTGTGATTGATTGCTATAAATAGCTGCCTGGGGATAAATCTCGTTAGATTAGGCCTACAATGGAGACGGAACACAAAATAATTACGAAACCAAATTGTAATCTTATTATAATCAGATTGGAAGTAAGCGACCAATATATAGGTCTATCCAGATGTCTACTTACCTTTATCCATGTTCGTACACAATCTATCGTCATTACCCTTTTTTCTTGAAAAAACGTAGTTTAGATTACAGAGCGTATAGTCATACTAGTATATCATCTCCCGATCTTTAAACTGTTTGGTATGAGTTCACAGCTGAGCAAATTTACATTGGCTTTGGTAAAAATACAGATCTTCTTCAAAAAATTTACGAAAAAATGTGAAGCTTTCGTACGTTTCTTGGCAGCGTCATTTATTAAAAGACGTCATCGGCCTTGACGCATTACGTCAAGCAAACTTCGTGCAATTTGGGCTATTTGGCGATAAAATATTTTGTTGACGCAATTTTCCGTTAAAAAGTGTCACAGATGGTGCAGCAGAAACCGAGCAGTGTGAGCACCCAATATTTTCTATGGAGAATGTGTTAAATTAATTCTTTAGCAGCCACGATATTTTCACAGATTAAGATAAAAATGATACTATGTCTATATCCAAACGTACGTAAAGGTACGCTAGCGCTATATCTATCACATTATCACGATAGACTAATGGATGGCAGTCATTATTTACCAATACTACTTCCATATTGTTACGTGATCATGCTATTTGGTAGCTTCAACATCAGTGGAAACAAGTGTCAGAGTTATCCCTCAAGGCTCTAGAGCTGGGGACTATATTCAGGTCGCAATATAACTATCACTTGCTTGACAAATCACAGCTGTAAAATGTTCGTTAACACGTTCATACTTCAATTCCAGAAATGGACGAAATTTTACCACCAGGTTTTTCAACCAGGTTTCCTTTTACCAGTAATGAAAATAGGTTGAAGCCTACTGGTGTTATATCCCCCATTGCATACAATTTTTTTTTCACAAGTTTTGATTAGCCCAATAAATGTAGAAGAAAAGTAAGACATAAAACCCAATTTAATTTCATAATTATGAAAGAATATTTTTAAATATTAAAGTATATGCACTGATTTATTTACGATATTAGTCTTTTATTCAAAAAGCAAAAAAAGAGTGTGCTATTTTAGAAAAGTTGTAATCAAATGAAGTTCATAAAATGAGAATTCCCTCCCTCCATTGACATAAATAACACTTTGTTTTTCATTTCATTGTCGTAGCTTTGCTTTGCTTTGGACCAACCCTTTTGTTTTGTTTAATGAAAGTCGATATAAGAGTTAAAATACACCAGAAAACAGTTTCCACGAATTCCACGATAGACAAGATGCTAGCTCCTAGGCAAAACCCCATGAGACCACCAATAATGCTAACTGTGTCTGAGATGGACATATTTGGTTCGTGGTAAATATGCTCGACCATTGAGTCTTTAAAGGATATAGTTACTTTTAACAGATTGTTTCTGGCATGTTCAAGGCTTTGTGTAATATTTGCAGCTATTAATTTGTCCACGGCACGAATACTAGGAAATGTCCCTGATGATAAATCAGTTATATATTTCGTCTCAGAGCATGGGCGAGGACAAACACAGGAATCTGTGATGTTGTTAGAATTAGACGAGTCCAAATAAAACTGCCGAGTGATAGGCAACACACAGTCTTGTCTTTGGAAAGGTGTACAATAGGGCACATCTGTTGTGTTGTGAACTATATACTCCGTAACACATGAACACATGTTTACAACATATTTCGTCAAGCATTCCAGTAAACAACCTTTATATGTGTAACGACGAAAATATTTCAGACTTCCTATTTTTTCCAAATTCTGCTCGCAGTCCATAGCATTGTAAGATTTGTAAGGGTAAGGAAGATAAGAATATTTTCTCGTCGATAAAAGTATCTTGTAGGAATTGCCTGGGGATAGGACAGCTCTAGGGGTGTGGACATCTAATGGTTCGTCCGGTGAGTGGATGAGGACTGACATGGAGGCTTCAGCTTCATAGAATGCATAATTATCTTGGTTGACTAAATTGTAGAATTTGACACCATCGTTTATTCTGAGTACTATTGGTTCTGGGTTGTCTTCAAACCAATGGGCATTCAGAGTCAAACAACTTTCTAGATGGTCTCGATACGAAGTCTTGAAATATTTTGCAGTTTCCAAATGGTTTTGTTGTAGAAAAGCAAAACTAACGATGTCTTCAGGACTAAATGATATTGCATCCAGATCAGACAAATTTAACTGTGTGTGGTTCCAATTGCTGTTCATAAACTCTTGATCGTGATTTCTGAAATCAAACGTTTTCTCTAGATATTGGTATAAAATACCCGAATCGTTCACTTTTCTTTTATCAAAACTATGAGAATTACAGAAACTTATGGCAGGAAAAACCATTTCCGATACAAAACTCAGACTTGTTTTCGTTTCATGATCATAAGATATAAAGGCATCCAAATTTGTGTATAGATTAAATATCAGAAATGTAAGCGATGAACCAACCGACAGAAACCAGAAAATTCGTGTACCAACATTTTTATGACTCTTGTCAACCAAATACTGTAATCCATGAATAGAGGTTTCATTAAGGAAATTTCTCCATATATCTTTCACGTTAGCCCTAACTTCTCCGGGCATTTTTTTAACAAGATCTTCTTTGCTTCATAAACTATGTTACTCTGGTCGTTATTACCTGATCCAAACCTACAACTGATGGTTACTCGAAATAGATACAGTAAAACATAATTAGGCCTATATTGGATTTCTAAACGTTTCCTAGGAAACGTTGCAACATAATCGTGATCATTTTCTGACCACTTTACTTTATTTAAACATTTCCGATTCGTGTACATAGATCTTAAAGGGAGGGACACAAAAGTATGACCCAGCTATGGATAAATCGATAAAGATCAATGCCAAGAGGTTTGACCACGGACCAGTTGGTAGAAAGGATCCTCGTGAAGATAAGTTGTTATCCTTATAAAAAAAAATGATTCTTTCTATGAAAACCCACAACCCTGTTTTCAAACTTTTGTCCTCCAATCCTTTACAATTTTACACAGTATCTAAAATCAAAGAATCAATCTGGCAAAAAAATAAGTAATAAGTCTTATAGTAGCCAACATAGAGACCACGACCTCAATCGAAAACATATAATGTTATATAATATTGGTTCTTTTAAATATCATACTGGAAATCAATTTATTCATACGAAAATAACTTTGGTTCCGTGGATCTTCTCTAACAGTTGGTGATTGGCCAAACCATTGGCATTGATCCGTTCTAAATGATTTAGTTATTACAGTTGGCTCGACTTAGAAAATATCTGCTTTCTAAGGTAGCTTTCATAACCATCGGTCATAGATATTTCATAAGTGACCCTTTTAAAAATGTGTGAATTGTTTGTAGACTACGATCGATACAATGTAATGTCTAATTTCAAAGGGCTACAGTTTTCTAATTTCATGTCTCTTGCGGTGGAATGTAGTTAAGGCCGGTTTTTATGTTTATTCTATGCTTACCCACACCCAAATTAATATTTCTGTAATAAAAATGAAACAATCCGATGAGTGTAAAACTACAAAAAATCGCCATTGACTAGATTATGTTCAACGTGCACCCTATTTTTTATTATGAAAAGTGATAAAGCTAGTTGAGTTATAAATGCTGGTTAGGCCTAAACAGAGCCGATTTGGGAGACTATTTCTTTTATTTGTTATTACTTAGAAAAGTATACAATTAATGTTAAATCATAACAGTAGTTAGAAGTGATATACGATGGCTCTGTGCCTAAATAGACTTTGTCTGTATACAGAAAATACATTATATATGTACATTATTCCTGTGTAATAACTACTTTGTTAATATATTATACAAATATAAGGCCATTGGATCTCTTTACACCAAATATCAAAGGTATATTGAAAGGTATCGTTAATCATTTCCAGAAAATATACGATACAATTGTTGAATTTAACGATAGTCATGTATGTGACAAGTCCAATATTGTAAATCTATCGTCCCGAGTCTCTACTGACGATCTGAGTCAAATAGATCATTGATGTTTCAATTGATCGTTTTTGTGGTCAAACTGATCATCATTGTTGGTCTAGGTGATCTTCATAGTGGGACTAACTTTATCATCATTTCGAGCAAATTGATTATTATTGTTTGTCAAATTGATTATTATTGTTTGTCAAATTGATTATTATTGTTTGTCAAATTGATCATTATTGTTAGTCAAATGATTAACATTTGAGGCAAGTAAATCATTCATTGTGCGCCAAATGCGTTATTGTGGTCAAGTTGAGCAGCACTTCGAGTCAAATTGATCGTTATATTGATTCACCATTGCTAGTTAAATTTATCAATACTATGAGTCTAAAGGGTCATTAGTGTTAGTTAAATTTATGATCATTTGAGACCAATTGATCATCATTGATCTTGATTTTGAATCAAACTGGTTGAGGGATTGATGGAACGACTTGAATCAAATTGTTCATAAGTGTTTGTCATGTTCGTTGCTCTGGCTTTGAGTCAAAAGATTATCGATGATAAGCAAATTGATGCATTTCTTTCCAAAAGTTTCAAATGCTTTCAAATAAAAAATTCATTACAATATATTTCATTAAAATCAGGAGTAATTTGGCAAACCGTTTCTTAATTATTCTTCTTTTGAATATTACAAAATGACTAATACATGAATACATCATCTTTAACATACAAAAAATGCTTTCAACTTATAAATAACTGGATTTAAACATTGTCCGAAATTTGTTGACAACTGCTTAGCCACTGATATAATTTTAAACATTTGTGAAATTTGTTTAAAGGAATTTCCATAACCCTTAAAGAAAGCTTTGCATTCAAATTGAACAGAGTTCACTTGAACGTTGAAACTGAAATGTACAGCTTGAAATAAAAAAAAAATCGCAAATCTTGATTCTTCTCTTGATAACAAGAACAATCAGACGCAAGCTACATCATCAGAAAGATACATTATCAGCAAGTTAAATCATTAGCAAGCTACATCATCAGCAAGTTAAATCATCAGCATGTACAATATCAGCACGCTACATTATCAGCAAGTTTCAGACTAGATTGAATAATCCAGAAATAGTCAATAGAACACATACAAACATGCATCGCCTTATTCACAGGTCGTTTTACATGCATAATATTATAAAGAATACCATGTATTCTGCATACATTAGTCAAAGATATGAAATATTACAGCACTGAGATAATTGGGACTAACAATAGACAATTGAGCCAAATTTCTAAGGTTGTAGCCAAGATTGGACCCAGTTTCTCAAAATATCGTGGATTAACCTACGAGCATAAACGTTGTGAATTAATGATTTGGAAATGTATAAAAAACGTTTTTCTTCATTTAACACGCAAGTTTATCGTACAAATTTTTGAGAAACGGAATCCTGGCCCTCTATTTTACACCGTAATTATGGGGATAATAACTTTATTAACCATGAACGTTTGGTTTCGATGTGTCTCCAATGTATATCGGGATACAAAAGAGTTGTCAGAATTCCATCTTAACGTTGAAAAAACTAAAAATATTGAATAAAAGTAGATATTTTCTTGTTAAAATGGCACTCGTATCAATTTCAGGACTAGAATATTGTTCTACTCACGGTAAGTAACAAACAGTGAAGGTTGAATGGTAAAATGACTAAATAGTAATTAGTATGAAATGTAAATAATGATAATTAGTGTATTTAGACTGTCGTCTGTATTAGTATCGGATTAATAGTATTTGTATTTTAAGTGAATATATACAACAGATCTTATTATGAGAAAATAAATTCATGTGATAATTCTACTTGATGTCAAATTTCTTTTTAAATTTTATGTTCAAACAAATTTTTGTTTGATTACTACACAATTAAGATTAAGGAAAGTTCCAAACTTCGTGATCATCATTCCAAATGGTGCTACCCTTCAAAAGACAAAACGGTAAAGATGTGGTAAAAAAATTTGCATTTTGAAGAATAAATAGTCTAATAAGAAGATTAGTAAGTAAGTGACAAAGTGAAAGCCTTTCAAAATCAAATAATATTCGATTGTGATCAAGGAAAACTGAAAATAACTGTGAATGATATTTTTCATACTGACTTTAGACAGGAAATGTATGAAAAGAAAAAGTTTGCATTAGTTGTAATTGACAAGCAAATAGTGCCATTCTTGACATTAAAGGAAAACAGTCATCTACTGGTGACTAAATTTAAGCTCTATCAGCCACTAGCACAAGTAACATAGTAGAAAATTTAAGCTTTATCACTGGTAGCACCAATAGCTACAATATGATAAATACTACTACTTGTGTGGTTTGGAAAGAAAGTTGTAAGCATGTATAAATATATTAAATTAAATAGAATAATGGAAGCATCAGAATGAATATCAGTAAACTCTAAATAATGGTGTAAGATGAAAAACCTCAAAATGAATATAAACAAATGAAATAACAGTATGAAAAGTTCAGTATGGTTTTGACTGTAACAGCATACAGTATGGGTTAACAAAAAAAAATAACTTAATAAATATCTTGTTATATCAATTCTTTTTAATGATATACAGTATGTAAACAGTCCTGTAGCTGCGGGCCTGATGTAAAATCAGAATCTTAATAAGTTCACATAAAAAAAAATTGAAAACAACTTAAATGCAAACTCATCCTATAAAGGATTGAAGTTGTCTTAATATTTAGTTTACAATCACATTATATATAACTCATCATCTGCCCTTGAATTTTAGTTTAAATTACAACCAGACTTCAGTTTTTAATTCTAAAAAGTGCCCTAGACATACAAGTATCAAACATATGAAAAAAAATAATGATTTAAATGACACAAAATATACAACCAAAATCAAACCCTGATTATATGGCCACACTAGATAAGCACTATGACTTTGAAAGCACATTTTTTTGGTTTTAAAATAATAACATCTATTTACAAAATACAACCTCTATCTTATTGCTTAGTTTTAACTATAAGAACTTATATTAAACTAACATTAAACTTGTATTATCATCAGAATGGCTCGATGAACTTTTCTAATTTTCTATTTAAAACTTTAGAAAACCTCTTTACAATCCTCTTAAGGTCAAAAATATTATGCCTTAAATTTGGATTAAGTCTTTTGACTATGAGAATACATAAAAGAACATTGGTTTTTATCAGGCTTCAAAGTTTTTTATCTATGCAGAATTGTATGTTTTTTTATGTCTTGCCATATCCAGGGTTTTTTTTTGCCTATATCCCTGATCACTAAAATTTCTTGTACAATTTTCTGAGGACATATTCTGAGGTACACTTTAGCAATACATAATGCCCGATTATCAATTCTTAAAGAGAAACAAGTCTTACTTTTACACATAGAGAATTATAATATCTTAAAGAAAACAATTTTGATATAAAATGAGAAGACAATCATTAACTAATGACTATTTTTAACTATTTACATCGGTACAAAATATAGAAAGAGACTAAAAAACTACAAATGCCCATGATTAGAAAAATCTCAATTTAACAGCTCATCAAACCATTCACGTTTTTGACAGAACTATTCAAAATAATGAAATGACTACTCAGACTCTAATGTTAATATTCATGGAATAGAATCAACCATAAAAAAACAGAACTCTTTTTGATTTATTCTGAGAACATACTGAATGTGACAAATCCACTTTCATACGTTTGATTGGGGGCAGAAATGAAAGTTTCAAATCAAGTGTTATTTAAGTCTAATGGTTAATCAGCTGTTAAATATAAGTTGTTCCTAGCTTCAGCTAATGGCCAAAATCTCCAGTGTTTATTCTTGGTCTGGGTCTATCACCAAAGATATATCGTCCAGTGTCAGTGATACTTTCTGCTAAGGCTTTCATTCTGTCACCTAAATGATCTGGATCAGATGGAGTCAACTGAAAAACATTTAATCAAATAAAATTTGCTATCAACAATCAAAATCTGCCAAATATTTTACTTTTCAATCAAATATTTCACAACCAAACATTCAAATTGATATTAAAAAAATTCATTAAAAATGCAGTCACATTAGCTGCAATCAAATTTAAAAAACACGACCATGTAAAATAGAGAAAAGAATTAAGAAAGGACAACTCTAGACAGAGTTTCACACAGCATTCACATAAAAGCTTTCACCGTATCAGTAGCAAATTGCATTGTCATGGTTATTGGGCACTGTAGGGTTCAAAACTCTTGATGCTGGTCCTCAATCTTGTCACTTACCTCATCCTCATCATCTTCATCTTCGGTACTATGTTTTCTCTGACCCCACATACTAGGTACTGATATAGGTACTGATGATGAATACAGATTCTGTCGACTGGATCTAGATGAATGATGCGTGTCTTCATATGATTTCACTGTAATACAAGAAAATATATCAAATGTTGCCTTCAATAACAAAATATTTTCACTGTTAAAATGGTATATCAATTGTAGATTCAACCCAATAACAGGTTAAAATTTACAAAGGGACTCAATCTTGATCTCAAACAATATTAAGATCAGATCTGGAAAAAATAGACCTATCAGGAGGTCTATCAAGGACCATCTAAGACACAAAATTTAAAGTGATACAGTCACCTAATTTTTCATTTTAATAGTTCATATTTGTCGATAGATTAACCCACAAGTAATTTGTAATTTTGTCTAATGTTTCGTGTATTCGTATGTTAAATCCAATTGTTATGGAAGATTATGTCATGTCTATGATAAACGTCATCGAAATTTGAAGTTCATTGGTAAATCAGTGTGAGAGTGTAACCTGTGACAATAAAATGTAAATATTAATTATAGAACACTTACTAGGACTTATATCACCTTCCTCATCAGATTCATAAAAAGGTTCATCATTTGGTATTTGATCTAATTCATCTAACATAAACATTGCTTCTGAATCCACATCTGACTGGTGATATCTACCACTAAATGACTGAGATGTGTTTCGTATACCAGACTTCGCCTGTAAAAAATATTCATTTTAGTCAAAACTATGGATATATACTTTTATTGACCAAGGATGAGAATCAAAATTTTATGTTAATTCTAATAAATGGTATATCATTGCTATGATAAACCAACTGCAACTGGTTTATTCCCATATCGCTGATAATATAAGCTTAACATTTTCAGTTACTAATTTTTGGACAAAAAAAAAGCAATCTTATTGAATTTATCATGAGTGTACAGCAGAATAAAAGTATAGAAACTATAACATTGTTGGCTATATCTTTGAAATCATATCTGTGATAATGCAACTGAATTCAACTTACCTTATTTTTGTTTGATTTATTTTTGGCAGGACTTCTCGATTGCATATTGTGTTCGTCTGAAATGAAACACCATGGTTAGGTTACATGAATGATAGGCAGATTTTGACACTATAGTCACCATTGATCTCCAGAAAGGTTCATTTTAAGCGTATCACATCACAGATTGCTAGACAAAATAACCTCTTTTATGATCCACAGATCCTGATATGAAGTGTACTGATATGATATTGATTTTGAGGTTTTTGTGCAATAAAACTGGAGATTGTAAGTTACTGTAAGAGTCAAAATGTATACAACTTTCTATGGCATTTTCAAGTTAAGTCCTTAAGACTGACATCTCACTCTCATCATTACACTCACAATAACCAAACCTAACTTTATAAAGGGAGAGAACTCACTGTGGGAAGGGAAGTAATCCATATCTTTGTCATTCTCTTCAACTACAACAGATTCAGCAGCTTTTAAAACTAGACTTATCATCTTTCTTTTATCACCTTTAGCTTCATCTTTAAATTGTTGGAATGTTGTTCTCTGTTCCTCTTCATACCGTCTGAAAACATCAATCAAATCATTATTAATCTTTTTGACAAGTCCCTGCAATCTAAAAAAAAAGTATGTTAATGAGATATTTGCTTTCTGCAGAAATATTCTAAAAATATCTGATCACAATAACCCTTTTAGCTGCGTAGCCTGCCACAGAAATTAATGTGATGGCAAATAATAATTATAGCAAAGCTGAAATCTAAATTAAATTTTTTGAATGACTCATCATGGACTCATACAAGAGTTGTAATTGTCTTCAAAGATAACAACTTAGGTTCATGATAATCTACCAGCTGGTCCTTGGTCAAATTTCTTAGCATTCATCATTCCAAGATAATCGTATCTGTAGGCTACACATTTTAACTGAGTCAAGTGTCATAATGAATATCAAGGTCACCAGAGTTTACAAATGTCAACAGGGAATAGAACCTACCAATATTTGTTTAACGTTATCAAGCAAAAGACATGTAAAGATTCTAACAAACTCACCGAATTTTGGCTTCCATTTTCTGTTCCTCCTCTATGATATAATCATTCAACTGTCTTTGGACTTCATTTAGTTGAGTTTGAAGTGACTCAAATCCTCGTGGATCTAAAAGTAATGAATTAAATAGAGATACATGTATATCAAGCACAATGTTGTATTTAAGTACAAGTACAACAAATAGTCCATACAATACAAATATCACTTACCGTTTTGAAAACAAATATGCTTGAATCCTTTAATAATGGATGCAAAAAAATGTAAAGAAGAGAAATTTGTAAATAACAAAATAATAGAAAGAACAAAGAAAATGTATTAACAATAAATTATGAATAAAGATAATAATGATTTACAGTCCAAAATCAAAGCTAAAAAGGTCATAAAACACTTTGTTATTGCCAGGCTTCAAATCAGACTGGGTCAATTGGAATAATGATGAAAGGTTGGCAGACTTTCACTTGCTGACTGAGATTAGAACTCACACTGCAAATGATATCTTGTAAAGTTTTTTACACTCTAACCAACTGTGCTACAGTACCCTTTATAAATCTACTCACCTGGAGCATTTCCTGATAATTCTGTTGGCTTCATTAAGATGATTTTATATGGTTTAGAGAAATTTGCAGATTGTTGTAGTCGTTCTATAACCGAGCTATCAGACTGCAAAAACACATTTAAATATGGAGTTTTAAGTAAAAATAATTATTATAAGGATTTGTATTAAAATAAAATCTTGAAACGTCTCTCTTGCATTACGGTAACTGTATAAGTACATTAAAGAATAAAAGGTAAAAGAACTATACCTCAAGTTTTGTGTTGACTAAAACAATGTCTTCCTCTTCATCTAATAGATGTGTTTTAGTTTTACAACTCAGACATTCATACAATTGAAACTGATGACAAGATTGTTGATTTACTAAGAACTCATGCTCCTATAAACAAAATTTAAAAAAATAATACACAAACAATAATGGCACAAGATACGAAAAAAATGTTTACTTGATTTCTGAAAAGACTATGGTGTCTGTGTTATGTTAACTTTTTTGTGCCTGCTGGGTGCCTAGCCCATTATTTACTAGATTATGTTCAGATCAACTAGAGGGTAAAATGGGATGTGCATTATATTCACAAATATACAGTATTCATTTCACCAGCTTTTGGGTTTGTCCTAGGCCTCTAAATTTGGTTCAGGTCTTTGTTCTGCAGAATTTTCTAAAAGCTAACTTCTCACATTCTGTTTTTATGCAAGGTTTTATGAATAAAATACACAGGGAAATAACTTACTATGCATATACCAGATTTATCAAGAGTGACTTCCCCTAATGAATCGATTAATTGTTTATCACCACAATCATCAACTAAGTCTGAAATTGAAGTTTAGAAAATCATGAAAATCTTGATAGAAATATTTGGCTTATTTTTATTAAGTTTGATAGCTTTCTACCACTGTTAACTCTTGTTTCTGTTTAAAAGGCAAATAATACGCAGTGGAATGAAGCAATACACAGTGTGAAATGAAATTATTTTTGCAGTACTACATTCTATTCTTTTAATTCTAGCTTTTAAAGGTGAATCACTAGTGTATGATTGTCAATAATATGTTTCAAAAGGAACTCTCATGTTGTGAAAATTATTTTCATTAATCGTTATATTATGAGGGCAACTTAGTGGACGAAGATAGCCAACTCTAAGAAAAGGAACAAAATAACATGCAATTGTTTGACTTACCTGAGAATCGACCCTCACAAGGTTTTAAAGATTTTGCATAGACTTTAACATTAAGGCAAGGACAAACCAGAAGCATCTTTATATCTGCAATGTAAGAAACTCAGATGCAAATCTTTGTTCAACCATAGAACTCTAATTCAACCTCTCAGAATGAACAATAGAGTGTTTATTCATTAGCTGACTTAATTGGTATCATAACTATAGAACATACATCCATAAAAATACATTAATCATGCAAACATACGGTAATATGAAAAAGATGAATATATATATACCGGCAGACTTATTTGCCAAGTTTGAAAATTGAAAGAGGTAGAATTTTTTTTAAGGATATACAGTATGAAGACTAAACCTGATAACACTTACAGTTTCTCATCATAATTTAAACTAATCAATGTCAAATTTTCCTTCAGAAAAGCAATTTTGAATACCTTAATATTAATATCTGGCTGTATGAATAACAAGATATCACAACAAATTCACAATCGTACAATTCACCTTATTTTGTAGGCCTCTACACATCCACAATTAAAAAATCCAAACAGTACTTTACTATATTTGACACATATATAATGGAAATTACACATTTATAAAGTTTATCTTTTCCTGATCATATCAATATAAACAAAGCTGACATATTTTATATCATGCATTACTCTCATGACAATTTAGAGATAAGAGAATTTTATCAATTAAAAAAAAACAAACATATTTTTTAAATAAACCATGGTGTATGATAAAAGGATTCCTGCTAAGACCAACACAGCCCCCACTATTAGAATAATTTTGTGTAATTTAAGGGACAGATGAGATGACAGGGTGGTTGATTTTACTCTAGTAAGAATATATGTAAATAGTCTTCAGAAGTACCTATGAGATTTGCATAATCACATAATCCTTTCAAATATACCTCAAACTATAAATTCTATAAATATCTTTTTCATGACAGAGTCTCCAGGAAAGTCGTCTTATTGACTTTCAAACTTTTTAATCTTTGAAAAGGGATAATTCTGGACACACATGCTTTTGAAGACTCAAACTTTGACAGTAACCTGTGAACACTATTACTTATTAGCTTATACAAAAAATTCCTGTTTCTGAAAGTAAGGTAGGCCTACTTAAGTGTGTTATTTGCTATCAATGGAAGTTAATTAATACTGCAACTCACTGAAACAAAAATCAAACTGATACATTACCATTATTTACATAAATAAACAGTCCATCGTTTTTCTAGAGTTTTTTTTCTTACCAAAATATGATTCTGACTGACTTTAACACTAGTTTAAGGTTTTATAAGAGATACTCTCTTACAAAAAAAGCACTGGCCTAGGCACTAGTATTAAGCCTACTTCCTCATCGAACAAAGACAAGGCAAGAAACACTGACTTGAATCATTCACAAGGAAAATACACGGACTTACATTATTCATGAATTATCCAAATCAGGCAATAATTAACAATATTCCTCCTTTAACATTTAAAACACAATGTCAACAAACTTTGACATTCAAACACAATGTAAACAAAGATAGACACTTAGTGTTCTGTTGTAGTTTGTTTGTCTGTATTTATCTCTAAGGAACAAATAAGAGTTCTATATCTGGCTTATCTAATCTATAACTAGTAACAAAATTCCTAAACATTGTGAAATATGGCAATGAATTAACCCATTATATTGGTGCATACGAAAAAATGATTATCAGTGCAAAAAGGTTAAAACTGATCTTGTATTTAGTTCAAATTGCTTTCTCTTTAATAATTTGTTTATTTTGCTTATGCTGACAGTAGGCCTATTTTGAATAGTTTGCCTTTGGAGCTTGCTATCTTTTCATTCTGTAGGCCTACTATTGATATTATTTCATGCTTGTGCATAAATCTAGAAAGAAACATATGCATATAAGTTATGGAAATGATTCACAATTAAACTTGAAATGACCTGCTAATAAACCTGTCATCATGCTAGTTAAATTAAATAAAAGTCATCTGATGATGATGATGTAATAATTTAATTTTTCTTAGTTAACTCAGAGCCAAGTCATAAGTTATTTTTAGAAACATCTCAGCTTATTCAATCCTTTTGAAGCTTGATAGAAAAGTTTTCATGGGTTAAATCTGGTTTAACAACAAATCGAAATATGCGGTTGCATTAAAAATTCATTACTTAAAGCAATGCGGTTAATTAACAAAATATTTTTTGCCCAGAAAGTCGGTGGAGGTCTGCCGAATAAAATAGGTCAGTGTCATTGAGAAGTACATGACCGACTTTTTACGTCACGTCTTATCGATAATTGATTTTCTTGAGTCATCGAGAAAAATATACTTTAATGCAAAAGAACTTTATAAGTCAATTTTCTGATCAATGGCCCACCTCTTTGTCCAGGATGCTACATTGTAAAATCTTCTTGACCGGTATTTATTTTTAGAACTCGTTGTCCGAATTTCAGTGGAAATTTCCACCAAATCGACCGCTTTCAGAAGCTATTTTCTCGAAAAGTAATGAGCAATCAACCGCAAAAATTTGAGCGATGAAAAGATTAAACTCCGATCTACAAAATGCAAAAAATATCTTTACTTGGCATGGGGAAATAGTTATTAAAAAATTGACTTACTTGCGACAAATAACAAACAATATTTACAAACTCAGCTGGTCGCTGACAGATCATGTGATTAGCTCTAAATTTTATCTTCGTATAAAAATTCTCGACTCATTCTCTTTTGTATAATTTAAATTTTTCTTCATCTTTTACTTTATATATACGAATAATATTACAAGTATTGTTTTACTGGGTGAATGAAATAATAAAATCTAAATGTACGAAAATTATTGATCGTCTGCTTTGTAGGTGCCCGTTCGACCACAGGGACTTGTACATAATTGACTAAGACGGTAAATGAATTACCGGTATATAATATGGAGAGGGCTTCCTGCGTCTGAGGTAGAAAACGCTATTTCATTCCAGAACATTGTCATAAGAATGCCCTTAGTCACTCAAGTGCATATGAGGGTAATTCATTTTCTGTGCTATTTGGCTTGTTTGAAATTGATTGCCCTTGTCAGCATGCCAACCAACAAACGGGATCTAAGGTCTCATTTTTTTGTCGGAAAATAGCAATGAGAGTCTTTATTATAAGGGTGAGGGAACGCGAACAGTCATGGTCGCCGATTTTTGTCGCCGACTCGAATCTTGAGTAAAATCTCACGTGTGACCGCGCTTCAAACTAGTTTGACCTTTTCGCCTATTGTTTTATCGTCTACAGGACGTATTACAGGGCGTCATCATCCAATCAGATTAATTTTCCTTTCAATAGCGTGATCCGCACTTAATATGGACTCAGTATAAAACGACTGCATGGCTGTAGATTGTTTTGTCTCCTCGTGTCCGCATTCGGTCGGTGAAACTCTTGACAAGACCAAGATCACTCGTGTGCCGGCACATGGAAACGGCATGCTTAGGACAAGTAGGCTACAGAAGATCATTAGCGAAATCAATGATTCCGGAAAAACAATTTATAAACAAATATAACAACAATTATACAAACACTGTCTCTAAAAGCCTCATAAATCACATCGTCATTTGGCTCTCATAGTTCCTATCGGTAGTATTACATATTTAAACATGGCTGAGAAAGGAATTATCCAAGATGGAAATATTATTTCTACATCAAGTTTATTCAAAATTAACATCAAAATTGGGAGACTGGTTTCCTTGTATGTTCCTGCGTACTCTGAACATGAACGATGTCGGTTTCTCACTAGATTGTTTTGTTGGATGTATTTCGTGATGATAAATGTTATTATCTGGATTGTTCCTCTCCGCTTGGTTTTTATAATGAAAAGTGAACAAGAATCGTCACGGATACTACCATTACTGGCTGTTTTTACATTCCACGTTGGCGCAGGATATACTTCAACCGCTACCTACCTAACCAGCGGCAAAAGTTTAAAATTGCTTTGTAAGAGGCTTGATGGACATCAATTAAAATATGGTCCCTTTAAAAGGAATAGATGTATTCGGAAATTCCTCTTTGCTTTCACCATCATCGGCTTTGGTATCTCGTTGGCTGATGCTGGTATATACAGCTTGTTGATACCAGAGATAGTTGACCAAGACAAACAGTCAATGTATTCACCCCTAAACCTTACAGATGATACAGATGGTGAATACGCACTAACTCTGGCTTTTCTATTCTTCAACGAACTCCTCGTACTTTTACATATGTATTCAATGATGGGGATGATAATTGCTTTTACTTTTCTCTTTGTCAAAGAATTTTCCTGTTTGAATTCAAATTTAGAAAGATTAGTAGAAGACACAGTTAACATGGAGGGAGAGAAGCTGGAGAATGAGATTGAAAATCTACGTTTAGAACATGCTAGTTTGATTGACTGTATGGAGGCAGCCAACTCTGTCGTTAAACACTATCTCCTTGGTTTATTTGCCACATTTATACCCGTGTCCTGCTTTATGCTGTATGGAATGATCAGAAACGCTTTGACCAATAATGAAAGATTGTTTATCAGCTTTATAACGGCATCCAATTTGGTTACTGCTTGCCTCTTCTCCTACATCGGTGCCAAATTAAATTTGAAGGTAAAGTATTTTAATTCTTAATTTGCCATCAAAATTTGTAGGAAGGTTATAATATGTAAAATCCATAGATTCCGCTCGTCGCATGGTCACATTATTATACCGACAGTTAGATTATTGGAGGTAAATTTCCTCCAAAGAGATTTAACAGCAAAATAGAATGTACAAAGATGGTGTCATCAATTGATTTTGTTATACCGGTGCTTCGATAAAACAAACTAAATTTGTAAAATTCATTTTTAGGCTCACAAACCGTTGAACGTCTTATTAAAGATAAATCTTACCAAAATAACACAGAAAACCGAACGCTCAGTAAGTCTAGTCCTTTTCTTGTTTGTAATCCATCAGCTTGTCGATTTAAAGTGATACTACGTCTTCGAATGAGCATAAAATTTAAGTTCTCGAAATAGTCAATATGAGTATATATTCGTCAGTCAGCTTACCTGGTGTCATAAAGGCCATAAAGTTACAAGAGAATCCATGTAAAATATGGAAAATTGGAAAATTCATAAAACTAAGTAATTATTAAAAAACGCTTAATCTTGATATTAAGCGTTTTTCAATAGTTAATTGCATATTTATGGATAATTACTAAGTTTTTTTAAGGATCCTTTTATGTTATTTATGACACAAGGTATATCTACTGGCTCTTATTCGCCAAGTTTAAAATTCTTAAATATTATGTTAATTCTAAGACTTAGTATCACTTTAAGCACATTGTATACTTTAGATAATTGCTGCGCTTATTTCTTCTAGAAATACATATCTTACATACGCACCAAAACTTTTAAAACGATCTGGGCAAATGTTTGTGGAATACTTAAATGCAGTATTTTTAAACCTTTGTTCTGATTCCACATGGTCAGGAAAGAAAAGTTTTCGGAAGCAGTATCAAGTGGTGATAATGTAAATGATCTCTGTTATCATTTTCAGATCTCTATGTTTGTTAACAGAGTCAATGGACCGAGTATTGGATATAACATTTGTGATCTGTTTATCCTGGATAGCACAGCTATTTTAGCAGTAAGACTTTTCTTCTTCTAATAGTCAAAAATTATAACGGTAACTAGTCAATAATTTAAAAAATTATACAAGTATATAGTCGTCTACAATTTGTTATACTAACGTCTGTGGCGACTAATCAAATGATATATATTTTTCCTAAACCAACAAATTAAAGCGACTGGCGTTATCAAGATCCACTACTGCCCCTAGTTGTATCAGCGAACCCCCAGGGGATATATAAACTAATCAGACAATAACTTGGGGCCCAATCCAGCATTATGGTTTAGTGGATAAAAACAGAAGCTTTATTCTTTAACGATTGGAGACCTACTAAATTTAATGGTACCTCAGTTAGAGACAACATTTCGAGAATTCTTTTTTTTTAAATTCAATTAACCAATGAATAGTTTTGTCTTTTACAGATGCTGGGTACTTTGGTAACTTATGCCGTGGTCATGCTGCAGTTTACAGACCAATCAAATAACCACAACCTTGTTCATCTAAATTCCACATACAACTACACCTTTTAGTACCTTTGTCGTTTGACACCCGATGTTAGTGGTGTCATGTCAAGTCACCATGTTTTTTTGCGCTTTAACAGCTATGTTGTAGAGGATTTAAACAGAATCATGTATAAATTCTCTTGATAGTGCTTTCCCTACGAGCATGTGAAACATTATGTACATAAATATATATCTTCTGGATCCTCATCCACTGGCTGCCATGGGTTGATAGGTCTAAAAGTTTCTTAAAGAGAACAATTTTGGTAAGGTAAAGATTCTTCGAAAAATAAAAAACCTAACCTTATTGATATTTAATTGTTAGCTGTTATCTAACACAGTTACTCTTCTAGCAGCAATTGTGGACTGATATTACATCGTTTCCAAGAATCATTATGTAAACTGGTGAGGTGGACGGATAAGTGCAACAGAATCTATTCCCCTATGTTCAATAATAAGAAACCGAAACACCACTAAAGATCATTTTTGGGGGTTTATTTCGGCCTTAAATGTATGCAAATAGTCTTCAGAAGTACCAAAACTGTACGAACATTTTACAATTCCTCTAAAAGTACCTCAAACTGTGAATTTCATTTTTATACGCCCGCACACGTCCATCCGTTCACATTTCTTGTAGGCGCGATAGAGTCTACAGTTTCTATCCGATCTTGATGAAACTTGCTATGCATGTATGTATTAATGAGATCTCAGTCAAGTTCGAATTTGGTAATAATTGGATGAACTGTTTCAGAGTTATTGCCCTTGACTTAGTAAAAGCGCGTCAATTTTGACTTGTAGGCATGATAGAGACTACAGTTTTTATCCAACCTAGATGAAACTAGATATGCATGTATGTATTGATGAGATCTCAGTCGAGTTCGTAATTGGTAACAATCGGATGATTGGTTTCAGAGTTATTGTCCTTGACTTAGTAAAAAGTATCAAATTCGATTGTAGGCATGATACAGATTACAGTTTTCTCCAACCTAGATGAAACTAGGTATGCATGTATATATTTATGAGATATCACTCGGATGAAGGGTTTCGGAGTTATTGCCCTTGACTTAGTAAGAACTAGTCAAATTCGGCTTGCAGGCACGATAGAGACTACAGTTTTTATCCAATCTTGATAAAACTAGATATGCATGATGAGATCTAAGTCTAGTTAGAAATTGGTAATAATCGGATGAACAGTTTCAGAGTTATTGCGCTTGTGCGTACAGTGATGAGACATTGTTCTTGTTTGAATTTGATGATAATTTTACGAACTGTTTCAGGTTTTTGCCTTGATTTATAGATGATTTTAAGATTATTTGAAAAATCATTATTAAGCCACTAAAGATTTTGTTATAATTTCTGATAGCTGGTAGTGGGCGTATGTTACCTTGCCTAACAAGCTTTTTTTACTGATTTATCCTCTGCCTGAAAATTGGGGTACCCGAAATTATTTTTTTAGGAAACACGATGTACATGTAAAGAAAAAGGCGAGTCGTCAATAGCCTTCAAGCACGGATAATAATGCATACACATTTGAACTGTTTTACTGATGAGCTTACCTGAGCTATTCCCTTTTCTGAGACTAATGTGATTAATTTTTTTTATTATTAAGATGTTTTCCTGCAATTTGATACCGCCCCTGTAAGTAAAATTTTGTGGACTTGTTCCACTGACCAGATTTATTTCGAAATTGTATGTTTAAACATTCTGCTACGCAAGCACATCTCAAATTGTGAAGAATATACTGTTCGACAAATTCATTTTTAGAGATATGATTAATATATCAGTATTGTAAAGGGTAAACGTTTGTAAATTTAGACGTCTAATCTAATAATTGAATACAACCGAATAATTAGTAATACATCTTCGTTAACACTACGGAATTTACAATATTGTGAACCCCTGTGTGACAGCTTCGAATTTAAATACCATGGAACAATATTTTTAAACAGAGTAATCACCCTTTCCCTAACACCAGCAAAATTTCAAAATTCTTTTTCGCTTTCTTCCCTTTTTAAATTAAAATTTATGTTTGGATATAATTAATCAAAAGAGAATGCAGAATATGGGGCGCTTTGTAAATGATGTGAGCCTAAAACTTTTTCTTCTCTAAATATATCCATTAGCCTATCCATGTAAAGCTGTATATTGCAATATAGAGATATTATTATCTATTTCTATCAGTCGATTGTAATGATGTGTTCCATTAAGCTTGTAAATATTGCATTATTAACATCGTGTTTACAATAGTTTACATAAAAATCAAGTCATTATCAATGAAAACTATTATTCGCTATCTTAATGTTGTTATTTTTACATACATTTTTAATCATTAGTCGATATAGTCAATTAAAGTTGAATCTATCTATTTGGTTTTGGCCGTCATCTTAGAATTTTTCAGTAACCTTAAGTCACCAATTCTACAAATAAACCTGGATCTCTAAGATAATCAACGTTTTCTGAAAAATGTTCACTTAGAAGGCTTTTTGTTGTGATTTTATCTGGCACTGGATTTTGGAGCAGTTTAATGTAGATAGTTACGGTAACCTTTTATCAGTTCGAATATTATACCGTGGACTACCGCCCCGTTTCTATCTCGTATATTTTAGTGAAACACTCCAGGAAGGTCTAACAACGTCTCCATAGAACTTTCATTCTTATTCATATCGCATCTAACCAATCAAATTCCTTCCCCCTCATGCGCTAGGATTATGTCACGCGAACAAAATGTGTATTCCACGGAGCATTATAGACTATTGTTAGACCAGTGTAATTCCATTGGGTAATAGGTCTTTAGGCAAGGTCAAAACTTGTGCTTAAAAATAAGAAGGGTTATGTTAGACCCTTACTGGAGTGGTTTGAGTAAAAAAGTAAAAACTTTACTGGTTATTTCAAGTCATGTAATTAGAGTACAGTGCCGTCATAAATCTCTTGATGAATTCACGATTGACATTCTAACCGAGCTGTAACGAAAATTATGTGAAACGTTTCCTTTATTGCTGTTACTACTTCGAGTGATGTACAAATATTGAAACTGGTTGACTAATTGCTGAATTGAAAATTGATGTATTTTATTTGTTCTTTTATATAAGACTTTATCTCTTGGAAGTTCGTGTTGAAACCCATTTGAATTCTGGTAGATCTATAAAAATGGAGGCAAAGAAAGCAAGCGAAATGGAATGCTCTGATCCGATAACTGATCCTCTCTCAACCTTTCAACCTATTCTTACTTTTGGTCGAGTTGTTGGCTTGTTTGGATGGGTAATTTCACCAACTGAAAAACGATGCTCTTTAAAGAAGTTTTTGTGTTGGTTTCAATTCGTGTTTGTACAGATTATAGTGTGGGGTATAGTTTTAAAGTATATTATTGTGATGTACATGGACATTCATTCTGCGCGCCTGATTCCGATTCTAGCTCTCGTCTCTTATCATGTCGGATCTGCTTACGTACCTACGTTGACCTATATTTCGTCAACCAAACATTTCAGACAACTTCTTAAAGTATTAAATGAATATCACACGCTGTTTGAACCATTTCAAAAGATGAGGTCTTTAAAGAAATATCTGAAACCCATCATCGCCTTCAACTCTTTTAATGGTTTTTCTAACTCTGTCATGTTTTGTGTTTTGGTCAGTCTTCCATATAGAGAAGAAATGGCAAGACTTATGTATCCTTTCAATTTTTCGGATGTGAAAAACTCCATCATGGCGTACCTGTTCCTTGGATCAAGTCAACTATTTTCCCTTCTTCATCTCAACTTGATGTTTTCACTTACATGCGCCTTGAGTTACCTATTGATTTTTGAGTTTAAACACATTACTAAGAAATTGAAGATTGGAATTGAAAAGTTTAATAGCACTGAATTAAAAGACGTGGCTGAATTTGAACAGTTCTTGGAGAAAATTCGACAGCAGCACAACTTAGTCGTAGAGATACTTGAAGCGACGAATTCGTTGTTGAAACATTATTTTTTCACATTCTTTGCTGTTGCTATACCAATGATATGCTTTAGTTTGTATGGTGTTATTCGAAGCTATCTGGCTATGGGTGAAATTATATTTTGCTTCATGACGGCCTATTCTTTTGCACTTTGCGTTTCGATCTTTTCTATTGTCGGTGCCCAACTTAATTTCAAGGTAAGCTTTTTATACACCAATATCCCTCTTTGTGGACATATATATTCGGCACCTCGGCAATCCGTTTACACCTCATAAAATACCCTAGAATCCACAAACTTGGCCCTGTTTTATGGTGATTTTCCACACATCTGAATATGTGTTTTTGTTAGACATATTCATTTACCTCGATTCCATCGTTTTGTATCCATGACCCTGTAACACGTGATCCTTGAATGCACACGCAGTCTTCGATGACCGACGAGAAATTAGATTCTTTATTATAAATGGAATGGCATAAATGGAGTAGTGGATAATGAGACATAGATGAAAATATCCATCGTTCCAAATACGATATATGTTTAAAACTCGTTCACCGTCAGTGATTCGAAAATAATCTCTAGAAAACAATTTTTTTCTCTGTCCCTAGTCCTGTCGACATCAGAAGCTGGAATAGGTACTGATGATGGATTACTTTTGCAAAAGATGTATTCCGAATGTTTAATGCAGTATTTTACCTACGTTTTCATAATTTTAGGCACACGAACCATTGGAAGTGTTAATGTTCATAGACTTATCAAGTATAAATGATAAAACATACAGAACGGTAAGAAAATAACCTTTTCTTTCCAAGGGCCTGTTATATGTGACGGGCATAGCCCGGTCAGCTCCTATATCTTTCGAAATGTACAAAGTTATAGCTAGAAAATTCTCAATATGCGCGGTAAGCGCAATAAACTGGTCAAAATTATTTCGTCATTAGTCACTAGATATAATATTGTGCAACCCACTTGTCAATCCGTCCATTTTCCTGCCAGTTATTTCTTTTGCATGATAATCGACCAATACGACTCCTCTTTTATCATTGCCCAAGTAGCAAAGAATTAGGCATTAGCAGTTCTTGTTGTTGACGGAGGATATGATATGCACTCAAAAATGCAATGAAAATCAGTGTGCACATAATTTTCATGCTATTACATTAAAAGGCATCATTTTTGTTATGATGTAACATTCATACCATATAAACAGCCCGAATTCCTTTAAAGAGGAAAAAAATCCAACTCGGGTAACTGAGCCAGCTCGGCTCACCGGGCTGGTCCGTTATATATAACCAGGCCCTAAGAGATATAACTAGTCTAATGACGAAAGGAGATATTAGTATCAAGCCATGTTTGAATTTCACGTGAACAGAATATACACTTATATTGAACCATGTATGACTATCGTGTGAAAAAGAATATACATATGTATTGAACCACTTATGACGTGGAACAGGTAGAAATTTATATCGAACCATGCATACCTTTCACGTGGAATCTAATACACTTATATCCAAGATACAGTCAGCTCCGAGAGAAATATTTAACCCCCTTTTTTTCTTATTATACCAATTTATATCTATCCCTTCATTTTATACTAGACCCACCTCCTTTTATAGCAAAATACATTTCTCGTTTTGTGTTTTTTGCTCTTGATGAACGTTAAAAGGGAGTGAACTTTGTTTTTTATATTTTGTATTATTGATATTTTGATGCTTTTTCTGCATGTATTTTAACTATATTATATCCATATTCATTTTTAAATCAGGTTTGACTATCACATGAAACAGAATATACACTCATTTTGAACCTTGTATGACTTTCTCATGGAATAAAATATAATTATATTGGAACAGAAAGGCATTTATATTGAACATTGTATGAGTTTCTGTTGGAATAAAATATATACACTTATATTGAAACATGTATGATTTCGGTATAAAACCTAGTGCATTGGTTAACATGACATAGTATTTAACTTTCTCGTAGAAGAATATACATTTAGACTGAACCATGTATGACAAACTGTTTTTTGTTGACACGGTATGTTATTTGAATTTGATCATGTTTGAGTTAGATACGGAACTTGGCATTATTTCATTTTTCTATTTCAGATGTCAATCTTTTCCTCAAATCTAAATGGAACAAATATTGGTTATCGGGTATATGATTTACTTACTTTAGACGCAAGTGCTGTGTTAACTGTAAGTGGTTTGACCCAGTCGTCTCAATATTTGCTTTACTGCAATTTAAAACTGATAATCGCAAAATTCCTGCATGTAACGTTCCCGAGGATATGGGCCCAGATACCAATAGCCCCCATCAACCGGCTAGTCCACTTCATGTACAGAAGATGTGTTGCTGTAGTCGCCGCCCATGGCGGCCACACCCGGTACTGATTTTGAACCCCGGCTGTGATGTCTTCTGGTGCTTCTCCATAGTTCACAATTTACAAAAACATTGTTTCTACTGTTAATTTTGATGAGTGTCAAACACCGACTTTCTCCAATGTCTTTACTTGCATATATAAGCATTCTAAAATAAAGAAATATGTATTATACACCCAAGTGACGTTTCTTTTGCCTTTCAGTATATGTCTTGTCTATATGGCCGAGTCTCAAGAAAAGATGAGTCGTCATTTTAAGATTTGAACACAGATAATTTCTCACATTTGAAGGCTAGAATTGCGACGATGAGCTGATTAGCTTAAACATAATATCCCCGATTCTGAGACTCAGGTACCTGTCCCTATAGGCTAGAGGAAGGGGTTGACATGGTGGGCAAGAACGACTTCCATGGAATATGTGTGTATTGTATGATATCACTTTTTTTCCAGCTCATCGGAACGTTTGTTACGTATGCTGTAGTGATGTTACAGTTTACTGGTAGTGATGCAGCCATTTCCTCGAAGCAAACGAACTTCACCTGCCTCCAGTAATTGAAATTGGAAACCAAATGGAGTTTTACGTCCTAGATTTCTGCAACTGATTGACCTGATTAAACAGGGCAGTGCCATGAATTGTGGAATAGGGGGAAATTAGCCAGACAGCGGAATTTCGTATTCAAAGTGATTATAGCACACCGAGCCTCAGTTTATTAAGTTTTTATCTCGACCTATGTCAGGATCTAACCCTGGACTATGTCCCGACCAGACGGATTCAAATGATAAGACCATAGTCATTCTGTACGGAATAATGATAGGTTTGTTATTTCTTTGTAACGTTAACTGAATAAATAAGTTTTATGCGTGTTATTTAATCTTCCTGTTTAAATGCATTATCTATATTAATGACTAATCTTTTCCTGGATCCCATTGGATTCTGTTTAGTTATTTTCGAACATAGATTTCATAGAATCTGTAATGTGAGTTATTGCGCTTGTTTTTCTAAAAAAGTAGATTATCAGCACATAAACACGCGAGAACGCATAATTCTTGGCAGATTTAGTCGAACTTTGTGAATCTTACGGCTGGTAACCCTCGAGGATACACAATTACCAGGGGAAACTAACCTTTACCATCAGTCACACACTTTCTATAAAAACTACCGATCTATTCACTAGAATATTTTTGCTTCTGTTAGCCCTCATAGATGTTCTAACAATTGTAACAATCATATAAAGTCGGACAATATCAATACATTTAATATATTATGTTTTAAACCATTAAGTAATTGTTATTAATAAAAATCGCTAATGGTATTAACATTGTTGTAGCCTATTGTAGTGCGTCTTGATTTGATAAAAAAAAAAAAGGTGTAAATGGAATAGGCCGTGGGCAAATCAAACCCCGAAGACATGCGCTAAACGCTATCCTAATCATGCATGAACAATACTGTCAACAATAATAATAATAATAATGCTGTTGCTGTTGCTGTCGTTGCTGCTGCTGTCGATGATGATGATGACGACGAGTATATGATGATGACGATGATGTTGGTGGGGACGACGATGATGAACCCTTTAATACTAATGTAAAATAATATTTATTTTATTATATTTCATCACCATATACCATCAGAGTGTAATGGAAACAAAGTCTGTCTTAAGGCAAAGTATGACATCAGCTGAGAATATTGGCGTTTCTACAGGATGAAGAGGAGAAAGGGGGAGGGGGGTATCTTGAACTTGCGTCCATCCAACAAATTAATGCAATCCATCCCATCTGGTTTAATATTGCACAAAGAAGGTACTATTCGCCGAACATTCAACAGGTGGTTCTTCATAGCCATTAAACTGTAACATCACCACAGCATAGGTAACAAACGTTCCTACTAACTGGAAATAAAATTTATAATATTGAGGCAATACATATTTTACCATGATGATCTATTGGTCCTTCCTTTGTCCTCATTCAACCTCTCGACAGACCTACCGATATTTCCGGTGATTAAACCTATTAACAAACCGACTGATCTTTCTAAATATATATTGCTTTCATGTCGTTACATTGCTAATTTCGGTTTCTCTTTTAACATCTTGGCCAATTTAAATTTGATAAGGTTCAAATGAGTATAAATTCTAATAACTTTAACATTTACAGTTAGTACAGCTCTACCGTCTAATGTCAACAAATCATACACTCGAAATCCAATATTGGTACCAGTTAGATTGGAGGAAAACATGGAAATCTGGAATGAATGAATTTTTTCAGAGATTGGTTCCACTAATTGATATACAACAGAATTTAAAATATTCTACCAATAAACTTACTATCTCTCGTAATTCAAACATTGACTCGTAATTGTCAGCCACATATAACAGTATTTTTGATTGCTTGATTGAAAGAATATAATGTATAAGGCAGTATCTTACCGTTCTGTAGGTTTTATTTGATATACTTGATAAGTCTATAAGCATTAAAAATTCCAAAGGTTTATGTGCCTAAAACAAAAACAATCATTCCATGTAACAACAACACATGTTTTGGATCCGATTTGCCAAAGGGCCCAAATTTCAGTTTTGGACATACATCGGATGCTTGTAGATTTTTGGCCTTTATTGTGTTATAACCATTTGTTCTCAATCAGCAAACAATCGTCTAATTTGACAGGCCTCGTCAACTTTCACAATGTCAAGCTCCGCCAATACTTTGACATCATGACACATTTTATGGAAGTACATTAATGCAGAGATTTGATTGGATTTTATGCCAGAAACTACAGCTAATCAGAGCCCTCGACAAAAGACCATACTAGCTGCGCATGTAACTAATACTTCTTGTTGCAGGAACCATTTTCATTAAATTATGTTTTCTACCAAGACATTTTATTGGTTTTATATTCAACTTTCACACGGGAGAAAAATGTCGTACGACTTTTAACAAGAATAGTGCACTATAGTGTCAAGGTATTACATTCGGTTCATAATAGCCATTGTCTCATCTATTTTCAACTTTTTTTTGATAAGAACAAATAAAAAGCTGGGAATAACAGATTAGTGGCGTAAAGCAAGTCGCTTACCTGTATATTAAGATAGGCCCCCATGATTGAAAATGTGCATACCACGATAATAAAAGTATGAGCCATAACCACACATAAAGCAATTTCACCAAGACCCAGATAGCCTCGAATAACACCGTACAAAACAAAGCATATTATAGGTATAGCAACAGCGAAGAATGCGAAAAGATAGTGCTTTAGTAACGAATTCGTCGCTTCAAGTATCTCTACGAGTAAGTTGTGCTGCTGTCGAGTTTTCTCCAGGAACTGTTCAAATTCAGCCACGTCTTTTAATTCAGTGCTATTAAACTTTTCAATTCCAATCTTCAATTTCTTAGTAATGTGTTTAAACTCGGTGATTATTAAGTAACTCAAATGCGATTTGAGAAAAAACATAATATCAACGTGAGTTAATGAGAATAACTCACTAAATCCCAGGAATATATATGCCTTAACGGAATTCTCCAAATCCGTGAATTCGAAAGGATACATGAGTTTTTCCATTTCATCTTTAAATGGAACACTGACGAAGTAGCAAAATAAACCGGAACCGATGACACCACTGAAAAACGCCATAATGGTGTTTGGTTTTGTGTTTTTCTTTAAATATCCCATCTTTTGAAATGGTTCAAACAGCGTCTGATATTCATTTAGTAGTTTAAACAGTTGTTTGAAATGTTCGGTTGAAGAAAAGTATGTCAGCGTGGGGACATAAGCAGTGCCAATATGAAAAGAAACAATAGCAAGAATCGGAATAAGACGACCAGAGTTACGGTCCCTGTCTACCACTAAAATATACTTTAAAACTATACCCCACACCATCATCTGTACAAACACGAATTGACACCAACACAAAAACTTCTTTAAAGAGCATCGTTTTTCAGTTGATGAAATTTCCCATCCAAACAAGCCAATAACTTTTCCAAAGATTAAAACTGGTCGCAAGACAGATTTAGCATCAATGTACGGTTTTAATGGTTGATCTCCAACCGGCGACACTTCCATCCTTGATGAATAATTGAATATTAAATTGTGTCTAACGTCACTATACACATCAACAAATATTTCTCTAATGAATTTCTGTTAATTTTCATTTATATTAAAGCTAGTGGTTCTAGACACACACACAAAACAAAACAAACAGATACTTGTGAAGCGACTTTTATTAATTGTTATCACGCCCCTTCAATGTATTTTATATGTTATGTTCATCAATGACAATGGATTGTTAACTAATAGATAAGTCAATATAGAACTATGTTTAATAATCATCCATTGTAAATGTAAATGAATAGAGATAGGATTAAAGGTATGCAATATAGTTATTAAGTTTATCAGAGATATAGATTTATAGTGCTATGCTGTTTCCCTTTCAGAATGGAATGCCTGCTCTGAGTTCGCCTAAGATGTAGCACAAACGAATTGAAATAACTGGTGAAAATGATGAAAATTTTATCAGAAGTTTTCAAACCATTTTAATTATCAAAGGATTGATTAAATATGTGACTGAGGTAAAGTCAATTTGATTTAATGACTTTCATTAGATAAAAGCATATACTAAAGATGTCCAATACAACCCAAGGTCGTATTTCGTTCTGAAAAGAAATATGCTTAGTAGGAAATGCTACTAAATGAAATGATTAGACGATTACATTCCTTAGCAATGATCTGCTGAGCTAAAGTCCCTGTGGTATGAAGATTTCTGATTTAACATTATGTACTGTTGTATTGTATGTAATATTATATAAATGACAATTATTGATAACAGGCATGATTGATGTTAATGTTTTTTTTTATTATAAATACAGGGATTGTATAGCACTAATGGAATCTCGTTTTTTCGAGAATTAAACATTGAATTAAAAACAAACTACTGTATTTTGTAACTTTTACGTGATAAAGTCCGGGGCACACACGAGCCATCAGCTCAGGCAGAATTCATTCGTGCACTCCTCCTTAAGGCGATAGCTTCCATGTGCGGGTACAATTAAGTAAGATTTTGGTCATTCATGGCGAAAAGTTGAAAATCAAACGTGTTTGTTAATTTTTTCCACGAATGAACAAGTGCTTGTGTGTGCACGAAAACGGAAATCAGATGAACGAAGCACGGAGGGTTATCAGATTCAAAGATAGGCTGCGAAGCGTTCACCTGTCATATACTAGGTTACTAAAATGAAATTGACTTAAAACCCTAACGTCCTAACCATCCGTCGTATATAGTCTTCTTTCCTGATTTAATATCTGTTGGGTCTTAGTTTCATAGACATATTAAGACACGTTTCCTTTTTTCTTCTGACTTACTTAGTTTTGTATCCAATCCCCTATAATTCGCACATGTAAAGAAAATAGTCTAATATTTAAACGGAAGGGCGAATATTATAATCTGAACTAATTAGGAATAGGTTCCTAATCAAAGATTTGGACTCATTACTAAAACTTTACAAATGGTGCCAATTTCTTGTAAATTGATACAATATTCATTATACCAGGATCTTTTTTTGAACCAATAGCCCGTTACTCAACCATAAATTTATTCACTGTGCTGTGATATGTATGTACTAACTGCACATCTCTAGCAAAAAGTATCAAGGTTAAGGTCGCTTTAAGAGAGAATTTATTGTTTCATAGTTGATTTTACTATAGACAATCTGTATAAACCAGAACCGGTATTATCTCTATGGTTAGAATTTTTTTTATAATGAGATTTTGACTTTCTATTTGAAAATTATCGAATATCAATTCTCTAATGGTGTCCTTGGAAATTGATTAGTGCATCTCAATAAAACGTCCCTGTTGGAATACAAGATGTCAGCCTCCATTGGTTCAACTTTTCAGAGGACAAGATACAAACTTTTACGAAATATCCTAGACCCAAAGTGTTTTAGAATTGTGATCAAAAGAAATTTAGGTAATTTGAAACGAAAGAAGACGAATTGGCAAGTTAATTGAACTGTCTTTGATAGTGAGTGCTTTAACGACGAATGCAAATTGCGGACTATAATGTAATAGAGATGTGCAAATATCAAGTGGACCTACCATTTAGGTTCCATTTGCCCTAAAGAGATAGTGAAGAGGTTTTATAAACATTTTATGTATGTTTTATAGAGGTACAAATAGGGGAGAGACTGATTCTATTGGTTGAGGTTTAGATTCATAATGTGGCAGGCAGCTCTGTGGAAGAGCATAGTTGCAAATCTCCAGTCAGCATCTGAAAGGATAAGGGACTTCCCGCAAAATAGAAATGATTTTGTACATTTTAACACATATTTTGAGGCAAAAACATATACATATTGTGTTTTTAAATATGATAGATTTGTTAAAAATGAAGAAGGAGTATTATTGAATTGGAGGTATAAACCATTTTTCTAGCAAGGCAAAGGTCATAGAGTTGTATAAGGTGTACTTGAACAAAGACCATGCCTTACCTTGCACACATATCATAATAAAGTTATGTGGACCTTGCTACACTGTCACAGTCAAGTCTTTGTACTCAAGGACTGCAAGGTTATAGGTAAGATTAAGACAGTATGATAAACCTTTGAAAGTCAGATAATTTCATATTGCCACGAGACCTAGATATGAATGTTTCCTTAGTGTACAGGCCTCTTATTTATGTGTTTTAGCTAGTTGTAAAGAGAATTATAATCTAGTTGTTATTGGTGGAGGTTCTGGTGGCTTAGCTTGTGCTAAAGAAGGTAATTTTCTTCTTTTAAAGTTTATACATCTAACAGGTGTTTAATTTTTGACTTTTAACAGTAACAGAAGAAAGTATGCTCAAATAAATGAAGTTGAAGAATTTTATGATTTTGATTTGTTGGTTTTTTCAATTTAATTTTAAATCCACAATTTTATTAGGCTATGCCATATGTGATATTCATGTAACGTTTATTTATTGCAAGTTTATTTTTCATTTCCAGCTTCACAATTAGGACAAAAAGTTGCTGTATTAGATTTTGTGAAACCATCAACACAAGGTATGTTATTAATATTCATGATAAATTTTGAATGAATTTTACTGAGAGACATTGCTAACCCTTTTCTTGTACAACTTGTGTTGTCATATTATGTTTGTTTAGTGATCAAATCCACACTAAGACAGAAACTGAAAATTGATATCTGTTCTGAATTACTTTCGTGTTTATCCATATCTATTTTAGTTCATGCTGTATATAGGGGAAGGCCTCTAATCAAGAACACCATGTAATTTCAGCTCTTGAAACCTTTTTGTTATGAAAATTTTGATAGTGTATTTTGTACCTCAGTTTGGATATGACAGATCAAACCATTTCCCTGGATAACTTCATTCACATATTGCATCATTTCAGGTACAAAATGGGGTCTGGGAGGAACCTGTGTCAATGTTGGGTGTATACCAAAGAAATTGATTCATCAAGCAGCATTATTAGGTCATTCTATACAAGATGCTAAATATTATGGTTGGAATATTCCATCAGATATTACACATTCATGGTATGTATGATGAGTCCTACAATATGAAAATGTTGCTACTCAACTTTCAGTTATCTATCCAATCAATTCTTAATGATATATCGGTGCGTCGCCCATCCAATTTAACATTTGTTAAAATATCAACAAACAAAAAAGAAAACTAAATATCATATCACAGATTATTATGCCAACACAACAACAAAATTATTTTGATCTTTGTGAAAAGAAACCTCATTCCTTTAAGCATCTTTGAGCATTAACTTTGATACACAGCTGTTAACTCAGGTACTAAAAATGATTGATAGAGACTATTTTTCTTCATTGAATCAAATAAGATATTTCTTATGGTGTATGGCAAAATTAATAAATAAATAAGTTTAAAGAAAAAAATTTGAACAATTGTTCCTGTTTGTTTCAGGGAATCAATGTGTGATAATGTACAGAATTATGTTAGATCTTTAAACTGGGGACATAGAGTTCAACTTAAAGACAAGTAAGTCATCATAATGAATTTCTCTTATTTCACAAGGCAGTGAGGCATATTAATCAATATTCCATCTAAAATTTATTTGTGCATCACGGACACAGATAGCATCAGTTTTCACCATTGCAATTCCACTAAAACTAAACGTTTTATGACATCACTATTGCAAAAGGTTCTATGTGATATAAGTGATGTCCTAAATTACTTAGTTTTTGTGGAATTGTAGGAAACTTCTTTACAATCCTTTAAATGTTGACACAAACTGCTGTAAAAAATGCTTTAATTAAGTGATATTGCTTGTTTATATTGAATTCTTTTATAGAAATGTAGAGTATATTAATGCTGTGGGTACATTGGTTGATAAACATACAGTGAAAACTGTTGATGGTAAGGGAAAAGAGGTAAACATTTATCTTCATTAAATTGAAAAATGTTATTTCTTTTTAAGTTTATGTAAGACAACTATATCTCATTTGATATTTCTCATTGCTTGATGAATTTGCTTCAGAGGTTGTTATCTACAGATAATATAGTAATAGCAGTTGGTGGTAGACCCAGATTACCAGACATACCTGGTGCTTTACAATATTCAATAACTAGTGATGATCTCTTCTGGATGACCAAGCCTCCTGGAAAGACGTAAGTAGGCTTGTTAAGATCAATACTAAATATAGATCTTGGTCACATAGTTTAGCATATGACTAAAATATCTCCAATGTTGCATGATTTTCAAACAAGCTAATCAACATGCTTAAACACAGCCATTTTTAGGCTTTGTTTTGTAATTTTGAACACACATAAAACTCAAGAATTATTAAAGACTACAGGCAATCCTTGTATGAAAAAAGTTGTGAGACAATTGGGATAAAGTGAACCACTGTCCCATGTATTAATTAAAAAGGGAGCATGCAGCTATGCATGAGTCTCATGATAATCATTGTAAAGTTGTATACAAGTACTATTTCAACATTGTCATAATGGCATTTAATAATCTTATTTTTCAGGCTGGTTGTTGGTGCTAGCTGTATCTTTATGATAAGCTATAACGCATTTTGTATTTCCATCACCCACTTACAAGTGGTGTTTCTAGCAATCATTTGGTGGAGGAGCCATATTGGGCCAATGATAAGCAATTTGAAACTGGGAGGGCACAGCCCCTTCCCCCTGCCCACCCTTGCCCACTTGTAGAAACACAACTGTGACTTACTAATAAACTTAATAAGCTATAATTTCTAATGCCACCTCAAAGACTTACAGTAGTTGAATTCTTAATGCAGTTGCGTGTCTTTCATTGTTCCTTAAACTGAAAATTAGATATTGCCTTAGAATGTGGAGGTTTTTTAACTGGTTTAGGTTTTGATACGACTGTAATGGTTCGATCTATTTTATTACGAGGATTTGATCAGGTATTTTCTATATTTTTATTGCATTTTTGAGCATTTAATTCCTGAATTGTTTTTTACTGATGAGGCCAATCATGTGAACTTCCATTTATAAACCAGATGTTCTTTTGTGGATAATATATCTGAATAACATATCAGCAGCTTGAGATGAGTTCTTATCATTTTCATGTCAATATATTAACAATACAGATTTCTGAAGTTATCTGGGTGTGTCTATCGTAACCTTTTCAACCCCAGCAGTTAGTTTACTTACCACATAATTACACAATATATACTCAAGCGGTAAAGTGGTGGTTATCAAGTATCTTCACACAATGTTAATGTCATACCATATAAGTCATATTTAATACTTGAAGTTCTGGGTATACCAGATTTTATTTTATTTAACCTCAGTATTCAAAGATAATATTTTTTGCAGCAAATGGCAAACCATATAGGAGACTATATGTCTAATAATGGAACTAAATTTCTAAGAGAATGTATACCAACAGAGATAAAGAAAACCTCTACAGGCCAATACAGTGTAACTTATAGTGATAAGAATAAAAATACACATAATGATATGTTTGATACAGTTCTTATGGCTGTAGGTTAGTTTAATAGCAATCTATTTATCTTTTATGATCGCCGTTAGTCTTCATTGTAATCTGAATAGATTTCTATCAAAGGGCTGTCCAAAAGATGACATTTTCAACCAATCAAAGCATTTAATGTAAAACCTATTTCTTGATAAATAAGGAATTGTGAAATATGATGACTATAGTAGAGCCTCTTTGGATTTAAGTATTTTAACAAGAAACAACCAACTATTGGATTATCTTGAAAGATAATTCTCATGTTATGCATAAAAAGCATAATTTGATAATTATATCCAATTGTTCACCATTTCATTAGGACGTAATGCTGTTACTGGTAGTGTAAATCTAGAGAATATAGGAGTAGAATTAGATACTACTAGTAAAAAGGTAATAGGTGGTTATAAAAACAACAGTGAAAGAAGTTCTATTGATAATATCTATGCTATTGGTGATGTTCTTTATGTGAGTATAGAAAATAGTTCTGATAACAATTCTCCCTCCATTATTCTCATGGTGCTGCCTGACTTTGATCTTATGAGCCTATTAAGATGCTAATTTGAAAATTATTTGTTGATGATAACTTTGGTGCTTAGAGAACCAGAGAATTATGCTTAGTACAAAGCAAGTTATCTGTGACCAGAATAATGGTCTTTGAATACATTTAAAAGCCTGTGATATGCCTACATGTAAGAGGAAGTATATTACTAACGCTGCTGTACGTCTGTTTTCAATTTTGTATGCCCAATAGAGGCTACAGTTTCATATTGAATTCGCTGTCAGCGGGTGTATATTACATTGCCTGGCAATCTATCTTTTTAATTCATGTCAATATCTGATGTCATTTGACTTTACTATATGAAAGAATATTTACTATATGAAATAATATTTACTATATGAAAGAATATTTATTTTAGAATAAGCCAGAGTTAACACCTGTAGCTATAAAAGCAGGTAAATTATTGGCTCAACGACTTTTTAACAATCAAACACAAGCTATGGATTATCAAAATGTAAGTTATTATTTAAAATCAAAGTTTCCCAACAATAGTTGATTTGTAGATTCAGGTGACTCATCATTCATTTATGATATCCAAGGGGTCAAAATAATCATACTGTAAGAATAGCAGTTATTTGCATTTTTTTTACTTCTAGTGCTCAATAGTGTTCAGCTATTATACCATGGTACTCGTAATAACAGGAGGACAATGTTGAACGGATTGTAAAGAGGCTTTTAAAAATTCTTATGTGTATAGTGGACACTGATAGTATCAGTATGCACCATTTCAATTTTCCATCAGACATCTGTGGTTCCTGCAATTCCACTATGACATCGCAGAGGTCTTTTACTTTAGTGACTTTATCAATTGCTTAGTCTAATGAAATTGCTGGAACTACAGATGTCTGACTGAAAATTGGAATGGTGCAAATTGAATCCGAACCTAGAAATATTTAGTAGTGGTCTGTTATTCTACTCAGGTTCCCACAACAGTATTTACACCAATAGAGTATGGTTGTGTTGGTCTTTCAGAAGAATCTGCTGTAGAGAAATTTGGAGAAGAGAATCTTGAGGTAAAGTCAAGCAAATATATTTTACACAAAATCCCAGGGTTTAAGAGGGCAGAAGTATCCTGCTAGTACTAACACATTGTGATGATGTACAGATTTACATCCTTTAAGTTGGTCTTGCTACTTTTTCTATTGAAATTCTATTGTAATTCTATTGTAATTCCAGATATATCATGCTTTCTATAAACCTTTAGAATATGCCATGGTAACAGAACGTGACGTTTCACAGTGTTATATAAAGGTATGTCTGAAAATTTCACTTTGAAATGAAAGAAACAACAATTATTTACAAGGATAAGAACTTAAGTTCACAGAGATCTTTTCTACTTGACTTATTCACCAGACTTTCACAAGTCACTTCCACCATTTATTCAACCAAGCAGATGTTCATATAAAGTTCCAACACTCTGATTGTACTACACAGAACCTGTTGAAGCAATGCAAGTATGTCTGCTTTTGAAGTGATGCTTTGATGACCTGTTTATTAGTAGAAATCACATTCCATAATTAAATCTTATAACTTTTTATTTAATTTTCCAGTTGATTTGTGAACGCCAGTCACCACATACAGTGTTAGGTTTACATTTATTGGGGCCAAATGCTGGAGAAGTTATTCAGGGATTTTCAGTTGCTGTTAGGTAAGATGTTGTTTCTATTTCATCAACTAAATCAAGTTGGAAAGTAATTTTGAATCCTTCACAAGATAAGAAAACATTCTGATGACATGGCCAGTGCTTACGACAGTCAGCCAAGTTTCACTCCCTAATACCAACATACTAATTAGATCTTTGGTTATTTGTTTTAGAAATGGTATAAGTTATGAAGGTATTATAAATACTGTAGGAATACATCCAACATGTGCTGAAGAAATAGTCAAATTAAATATTAGTAAGAGATCAGGGTTAGATCCAACAGTAACAGGTTGCTGAGGTTAATATCATCTCTATTCTCCTATACTCTTTAATATCTTACATTGATTGGCTCCTCAAAGGATTTAATTTAAATATTAGCTCTACCAGCTTTTAAAACCTAACCTAACCCACCTTTTCAGACATTGAACTGGCAACAATGACCAATGGTAGCAAAATAATGAATTATTCCTTTATGAAAGCATGATATCTTTAATGAGCATTCAAATTTCCCCAGGTACATAACAAATAATGTATTTCAGTATATTTTCCATGCATTGGATTGAATAAATACAAAAAATAACTATTATGTGACTGGTTTTGTATTTTACCAATGTTTTCAATATTTTTGCTACAATCAATGTAACATAAGGTATTAAAGAGTATCCTGTTATTCACAGCCTTATATCTTGATTGAGAGAGCTGTGAAGAGCATTGTTCTGTCATTTAATCTTGCCATGGTTGACTTAAGACAGGGTGATATAGGCCATACTTGTATCATAACTGATATAGAAATTTATATTATTAGTACAATTTGTTTGTTCAAAAATACCAAAATATTAAAATATTGCCATGTAATAGTAAGAAATATTGTGATATATTAATGAATTAATATCATGATATCCACTTTAACCAATATGGTCCAGCCCTAGGTCAACCTATGACATGCTAGTGCTTAGAACAAAGAATAGAGATGATATACTATATAGTGACCAATGTATTATTAGTGCAATATGTTACTCTGTATGACGATTTCTATTAAAATCTCGCGAATAGTAGAAATCTGATGATCTGAGTAAATAACTTTAATATAAGATAATTGTGTGATGTTTAACAAATAAATTTTGATGTAAGAGACCAATTGGAAAATGAATGGAGTTTTACACCCTAGTTTTCCTGATTAGCCTAATGACGTTCTATGCCATGCCATTTGCAATGAGGGAAATTATGCCAGGACAACTGCATTGGCCTTCTCAATATCAAAGGATCTTTAACATGCACAACCTGTAGCACAAGGGGCCACAAGTTTTTGTTCCATCTGAATAACCAGATTCTTTGTCGGCCCCTCTAACCTTCATCACTGACAGGGGGAATCCAGTAAAAAAAATACTTATTGCCAACCTATGATGGAATTTAACCCTTGACCTTTAGGTTAGCAAGTAAGTCAGCTCCTCAAGACCATTTTAAATAAATTGTCCATTTACGAGAAACTGGTTGACAATGACCCACACCTCATTATCTTGAAAGAGATTATTTGGCATCATATGTTTGAAAAACATGGATTTTGTGTATCGGGTTCACTTATAGTTTCCATATATGCACCAATCTGATTCTAGTTAGATTTATGTGGTTCGACTTACTTGCGTCAAAAAATTCATAAGTTTTTTATTTGCCAACATGGATATGTGAACTTATTTTGCATTCGTCTGTCAACATTTCTTTTGAGCACAATAGAAACCACAGTTTTTATTGGATTTAAATGAAAATTAAGAGAGTTGTCAAGCAGGATATCAGAATTGTAAAAATGGAAGCAATATGTACTCATTATCAATAAAACACAAAAAAAACCTCTTGACAATCCCTTTTAAGTTTTTACTCTAAATACATCAGAAAATAGTTTGTCCACATTAAGATAGATTAATGAACAAATAGATACTATTAGAGAAATATAATATAATGTATCACATAAAGCAAAAAATCAGAATATGATGTAAAAACATTGTAACAATATATAAAAGTGAAATAAATTATTTTTCTTAAAAAAATCATAATTCATTGGACTGATCACAACATAACAGATATAAATGCTCAATAGTAATCTAGAGAATTAAGTAGTTCTGGTTTGTTCACAAATGTGGTTAAAACGTCTGAAAAAAAAGCAAAAAAAAACCTATTAAAAATTACAAATTGTGTTGATGTGGTCATTTCAGTTTTTTTAATACCAAAATTTTGTTGAATTTGAAACAGGGTGACATTGCTCATGTTTTTATGTTAGTAGATAGTAAATTTGTTATCTGAAAGGGCCTTGTTCAAAAATTAAACCCCCTTAATGTGCACACACAAATCTAAAAATACTTCAATCTACTTACGTTGCATGCTGTGGTTTATTTTTTTGTGTTCTACAGTTTTTACCCCAATAACAATTAGGTTTTTTATTAACTTCATCTGGAAGGAAATTCAAAATAATTTTCATACAAAAATAATAAGGAATACAATATTTCGTTTTGATTAATGTTTATCAATTTGTTACACTGTCCACACAGAGTTTTTTTTTTGGAAGCTATAATTATTCAAACCATAAGTTTCTGTTGATTTCTAAGGCAAATCTTTGAGATTTTGCAGTAATATTCAACCCATAGTTCATTCAAATCTTATGAAATCAGCAGTGTGCAATAAAGGAAATTTCCATCACTATTCATTAAGTTTTCTTTAAAAGTGTCCAACCTGGTAAATCCTCTTCAGGAATGTCACAGCGATACTGGTACACTAATTCTTTAAAATTTCTTAAACCACATGCATAGCATAGTACAGAGTTTGAATTCAGGTTCACTTCAGCATAGGTAGCTAGAGTAAATCAATAATTACATACTTAATAATTATAAATGTAAGCAACTTGAAAATTTTGAAATCGTGATCAAAATGTTGGCAACCTTCACATCTTGTGTCCAATGTTTGATATATCAGGTGTTTTTGTTTGTAGATAACCCAATATATATCATTTCATTGACAATGAGCGATGACTACTATTTGTACATCTAGTTTTATTTCAAATTTGCACAGTTTTGTTATTGCCCATTAAATACTTGGACATGATCCACTATCATGCCCCCACATCAAGATCCACTACCCAATGGTCTTTCAGTCCCAGAAAACCACACAATAAATCACACACAGTAAATCACACACAGTAAATCACACACAGTAAATCACACATAATAAAACACACAATCAACAATAAAACCAAAAATATATCTTTACCTCTTCCATTATAAACCCCACTTTCTTTCTTCTCTAAACAAATCTTTAATAGTTCTTTAATAGTTATATTTTTACTTTCTAAATAGTTCTATAATAACAGATAATAATTCTTTAATAGTTATATTTTTACTTTCTAAATAGTTCTATAATAACAGATAATAGTTCTTTAATAGTTATATTTTTACTTTCTAAATAGTTCTATAATAACAGATAATAGTTCTTTAATAGTTATACTTTTACTTTCTAAATAGTTCTAAAATAACAGATAATAGTTCTTTAATAGTTATATTTTTACTTTCTAAATAGTTCTATAATAACAGATAATAGTTCTCTAATAGTTATATTTTTACTTTCTAAATAGTTCTATAATAACAGATAATAGTTCTCTAATAGTTATATTTTTACTTTCTAAATAGTTCTATAATAACAGATAATAGTTCTTTAATAGTTATATTTTTTACTTTCTAAATAGTTCTATAATAACAGATAATAGTTCTCTAATAGTTATATTTTTACTTTCTAAATAGTTCTAAAATAACAGATAATAGTTCTCTAATAGTTATATTTTTACTTTCTAAATAGTTCTAAAATAACAGATAATAGTTCTTTAATAGTTATATTTTTACTTTCTAAATAGTTCTATAATAACAGATAATAGTTCTTTAATAGTTATATTTTTACTTTCTAAATAGTTCTATAATAACAGATAATAGTTCTTTAATAGTTATATTTTTACTTTCTAAATAGTTCTATAATAACAGATAATAGTTCTCTAATAGTTATATTTTTACTTTCTAAATAGTTCTATAATAACAGATAATAGTTCTCTAATAGTTATATTTTTACTTTCTAAATAGTTCTATAATAACAGATAATAGTTCTTTAATAGTTATATTTTTACTTTCTAAATAGTTCTAAAATAACAGATAATAGTTCTCTAATAGTTATATTTTTACTTTCTAAATAGTTCTAAAATAACAGATAATAGTTCTCTAATAGTTATATTTTTACTTTCTAAATAGTTCTAAAATAACAGATAATAGTTCTTTAATAGTTATATTTTTACTTTCTAAATAGTTCTATAATAACAGATAATAGTTCTTTAATAGTTATATTTTTACTTTCTAAATAGTTCTATAATAACAGATAATAGTTCTCTAATAGTTATATTTTTTACTTTCTAAATAGTTCTATAATAACAGATAATAGTTCTCTAATAGTTATATTTTTACTTTCTAAATAGTTCTATAATAACAGAAAATAGTTCTCTATTAGTTATATTTTTACTTTCTAAATAGTTCTATAAAAACAGACATAACATATCCTTATCATAGGGGCTTGTAAGGAAGATGTTTTAAGGCGTTCTCTAGACTTTTTTTATGTCAGCTTCTTGTGTACTATTACAAACGGTCATTTGTAGTGTGAGCTATCTGCGTACATATCCAA